GCGTATATATATGTATTATATCTTTATCTATCTATCTACGCACACACACATACAACATACACGTGCATAAATATATATATATGTATGTGTGTGTTGTGTGTGTGTGTGTGTGTGTGTGTGTGTGTGTGTGTGTGTGTGTGTGTGTGTGTGTGTGTGTGTGTGTGTGTGTGTGTACAAATCTCGTAGATGTAAGATAGACCTGGATTGGCTAAGATTACCTTATCTTTGTATTTTTAGTTAAAGCTTAGTTAATACCACTGGAATAAAAGCACATAAATAGCCATATATAATTTAGTAAAAAAAAAACTCGATCTGGAATAAAAGACAACATACCAAATGAGAATCGAGGCAGAATTTAGAAAATTTCCCAAGTTTTATATATTTTCCCGAAATACTGATGCTAAAGTTAGAACAATTTCGAAGTTGACTTTGACACCTCGTTCAACTTTGAAGAGAGGTTGGCATATCATGTAAGTTTCAAAACTTTGTCTTGAAGATTACACAGGTATAAGGGTAAATATTGGCTCAGGTCAAATCAGGTCACTTCAATAAAAAGTAGTTTGAGTTGTGAAAAAAATTGTTGAGAAGAAGGAGAAGAAAAAGAAGAAAAAGAAATGAAAAAAAAAATAAAAATAAAAATAAAAATAAATAAAAAGATAAAATAAAAAAAAAGAAAAATAAAAAAAAAAAAAAAAAAAGAAAAAGAAAAAAAAAGAAAAAGAAAAAAGAACAAGAGCAAAAAAAAAAAAAAAGAAAAAAAAGAAAAAAAGAAAAGAAAAAAAGAGAGAGAGAAAAAAAAGAAAATAATAAGCCTTTCCGACACAGTTCTCGACCTCGAAAAGACTTTCTGAACCGCTTGCAAGACACATATTGCTAATTAATCGAAGGTAAAGTGTAATTAGCAAGTTCATGTACGTGTTATTTTTTTAAGATTCAATGTAATTACGCACCGGCAACTGAAGGTAAAATCCAGCTAATTGTTCATTTCAAGACACGTGTTGGTACTCCAAGGTAACGTACGTGTTTATAATGAAAGATAAAGTACGTTTTGGTATTCGAATAAAGATACTCAAGGATGCTTAAAAAATAAAGCGTATTTTGATAGATATCTTGATGATGATAGTAATAATAATAATGATAATAATAATGATAATAATGATAATAATAATAAGAATGATTATAATGAAATATGATGATGATGATGATGATGATAATAATAATAATAATAACGGTAATAATGATAATGATGATAATAATAATAATAGTAATGATAATAATAATAACAATAATGATAACAACAACAACAACAATTATTATAATAATAAACAAACTCTTGATAATTAATTCTTCGTTTAAGACACTCCGAAAAAATAAATGATAACAACAACAATAATAATAAATAAACAAATCTCTTCATTTATTAATACTTCATTAAAGACGCGACGTAGGGCCTCCAACTCTGGGAACGACTGACGCAAGAGGCCAACCTCTGTGACCTCTCGTGACCTTATGTAACAGGGAAACACACATACTAAGAAGCCAGACAGGGACTCGAGTGGAGACGCTCCTTTTGAAGGCGTCGACTGAGGAGATGGGAGGAGATGTGTGCTCATATGTTTTATTCTTTTTGATTCGTCTTTTATTATAGTAGAGGGGGATATTTTTTTTTATTTATTTATTTTTTTTTAGAGATAGAGGGGAAGGATTTTTTGGTATGTTTTATTGTTATGTTATTTTATTGTTATTATTATTATTATTATTATTATTATTATTATTATTATTATTATTATTATTATCATTATTATTATCATCATTATTATTTTTATCATTATTATATTACAAGAAGGATTTTTATGATTATAGAGAGAAGGAAAAGAAACTTGTTTTTTTTTTTTTTTTTTTTTTTTTTTTTTAGACAGAGGGAAGAAAAATGGTATTCTTATTTAGACAGAGGGGATTTTTTTTTTTTTTGTCGAAGGGGGATTTTTATCTTTTCTCTTAGCAGATATAAGAGAAATTATCATCCTCGTATTAAGTATTTTTTCATTTAGTGAGACGAGAAAGCTTTATTTATTTATTTATTTATTTTTTTTTCATTTATTATTTCATTTAATTATTATTATTAGTTATTTTATATTATTATATTATTATTATTATTATATTATTATTATCTCTTTTTTTTTGACAGAAGGAAGAAAAAAAATTCTCGACATATTCGTTTCTACTTAAAAATCTGTGTAAGTTCACTTGTTAACTCTTCCTGTCAGCCTTTTCTTAGAAGATGATATAATTTGATAAACCATGATATAAGTGCCAGCTCTCAAGTACATGGTATAGAATTCACACCAATATTTTTTTTTATTTCAAATCAACTCTTATAAAGGGCGCTGGTATTTTTTTTTTCCTTTTTTACGAGTAGTTCAATGGCGCCACTTTTTTTTTTTTTTTTTTTTTTTTTTTTTGAGCAGTTCAATCAGCGATGATGTCAAGAGTGGAGGGA